CACATACAAAAATAAAATAAAAATAAGGCGCTTAATCACAAACAAAAATATGTCTAAGATCAATCAATAATGACAAAAAAGAATTTCTCTTTTTTTTTTTCCAGTTCATTACATCACACTTAGTTAGTGTTGCAGTCTCTGTGTGGCCACATTTCTGAACGTTTATTTATCCATTCCTTTTTTCAGTCCATTAATGTAAACAATTTCACCTGAGGTCGAACACATTCTACTATTGCGACAATTTCTGCTGAGCACAATCATGGAGTACATTAAATGAGTACGGAGTTGTCAATGCAAGCGAGGGAAAACCCTGTAGTTAGAAATCATTGTGTTAGCAACTCCCCCCCTGCAGCCTTCAACGCGAGAAAGTGAAAGCAACACAACCCCGTAATGTGAAGAACTCAGCACCACAATACTCCTTAGTAGAGGAAATGCTCGAAAAACAAACAACTGACTAACAGTTTAGTAGAATGCAAGCCAAGAAACTTGACCTTAAAAGAAACCAGATTTCACCCTCCTACGTCTCACCTTCGACCAAGGAAGAACAATCACTCTTTCAAAGTTGAAGAAGACTTTATTTTTCAATTTTTGCCTTACAATAGATAAGCCACTGAATGTGTTCGGATACTCACACCCGAAGAAGGAAATAATCTAATCCAATTGTTCACACCAAAAAAAAATGAAATAAGTAAAAATAAGATAATTAACGCGCCGCAGATACATAAAATAAATTCCTGAGAAAAATAACACACTAATAATTCAAACAATTCCAAATAAAATATGTCACATGAACGTATTCAAATAAGGAGTAAAGACCCCTTTTAAGTACTACGAAATTGAATAACTTCCAGGAATGAATCCCAAACAATCACGTCTAAGAACAGAAGCGGCCTGATCAGGGCCAAGCATTAGAAAAGAAAAGAACGTTACAACACAAGGAACCTCGGAACCAGCCGAAAATACCCCACACAAAGAAATCAGAAAGAAGGAAAACGTGATTGTCCAAAAATTCAGTTCAACCAAAATCAATTCCGAGAATGAACATAACGAATACGCTGTGCAAATACCAATTAGAATTTTATCCAATACACACACAAAAATAATACTAATACAACCTAATGCATATACAAAATACGTTTGGCCAAAAATTTACAAACAGATACTACCAAGATACACATATACACATAAAATGAAAATACAATTAAACTGTAAAAATTTCGTACATACATAATTCAAATGAGCAATGAGATCAGTGATACTTAAAAAAAATTTTTAAACTGCAATACCTAAACAAATACACAAATAGTCATTACGTTAAACCATATCAAGTCAAAAATATTTCACTGTAATTCAAATCAAGCCAAAAAAAATCAACCAGCAAGAGTGAAGTGTCGCTAAAAAAATTTCAAACCTCAAAGTAAAAACACTAGTGAGTAACAACACCATAAATTTAAGTCCCCTTAGTTAAGACAACAAAAAAAAAATTCAGTAATTCTAAAAATCCATTAGGTCCACAAAAAAAATTTCAACTAGTCAAAGAAATCAATCAAAGCTGGACTGAAGCACGTTACTAGAACACTAAATAAAAATATCACAAATCAAAAAGTGTTCAAAACAAACCCCCCAATTTTAGGCAAAAACCTGAGATCTATTCTGCATCAGACTCTTCCAAAACGTTGTATAGTAACCTAAGTAGCAGCTTTCAGCAACACCTCCACCCAAACAAAAGAAACAAAGTAACTCTTTACCGCGTCCATGTAAGCTGAGAAAAGCGCTGTATTATAAATGACAGACTCCAAACTTTACGTATCAAGCAAACCTCCAGACACGTTGAAAGAGAACATAAGATCTCTTATCTCGGAAAGAAAAGTGCGCTGACTGAAACGTTACAATCCTGAACCAACACAATGAAAAGATACAACAATAGATTTTCTCAGATAACAAGTTCCTGTTTGCCCCGGTGTAAGAGGTCAAGTGCCACCATGAAGTGCAAGTATTTACAAGAAAACGAGCTTTCAGGACATTACAACTTCACGCAAGACCTAACTGCAAGCAACAAATGCAAAGTTCTCAAAAGTGCTAAACTAAAAAAAAAAAAAAAAATACTCATAACTCGTAACTCAAAAATCCCTAAAAATCACACAAATGAAATCCATAACTCAAATTCTACTATTTTCCTATGACCACAGAAAATCTCAATTCTTCCACAGAAAAACTAAACATCAGAGAACTTACATTTTACGGACCTTGGCAGAAACCACCAAAACAAAACAAAAACCTGATACAACTATCTTGATACTACCAATTCAAATACAAAACTTAAGCCAAAACAAGAATTAACCCCAAATTCAGCAACAAGTCCAACCAAGAAAGAAAATTCAATAACTCAGATCAAATCTATTACGATTCACTAGCAAATTCAAGACAAACTACTTGTAATCAACAGAAAATTCCCACACATGAGTACAGAGCATAAGTAACTAATCTTCTCAAACTTATTTCAAAAATTTCATAAAACCAATTCCCGTTGTCACCAAAATTCTCATTAAAATTCACTTTCTACAATTCACAAGACTAACTCAATTTCTACTGTTTAAACAATTCTCACATGACAACTCTTCACAAACTTAAAACTCAGAAGATAACTAATCTCAATTACTCTGACTCATTAAACTAATTAGAACTTCACTCAAGCTGAAGAATTCAATCCAAAAAAAAAAAATTAAAATAACCAAACATCACTATTGCTGATCTCAGGCAAAAATCCAAATCTAACCCATGTTAATTTTAAAACAGAATTTTGCAATTGAAAAACAATCTTCAATTTTTCTAACTCATTCATTTGTATCATTATGCCTTAAGAACTTATAAAATTCATTGCTCAATACTAAATTAAATTACTAACAATTACACAATATACTGGGATCATATCAAAACATTGTAAATCAAAAAGCAATAATATACTACGCTAGAGAATCATGAAAACATTACATACATTTCACAAAATATTATTCAATCAATTAAAAAAAAAATCAAAATTTCTCTAACGTTACCCCTCACAATTACACATTTCACAAGATTCTAGGTTAAATAAGTAGCAAAAACACAAAAAAAATTTCTAGCTACGCATAGCTATGGCTTGTCTCATTCAGTAAAATAATTAGAGTCTTTAATCTCTTTCTCTTAGAAGTGCTCAAAAAAAATGAGTCCAGTTTTTACCGACAAGCACTCGAAACTTGTTACAAGGATACACAAATAGCATAGGATTATCGTGAAATAATTCATTTTCCATCTTGTATCAGAAATCAGAAATCAAAAGTATACATCCAGAAAACACTCAAGGATTTTCAACAGTAAAAATGTACAGTACCTATTCTGCTACATTCTATATATATATTTTTCCTAATTTTAAAGTTCAATTCTGTTTGCCTAACGTTAAAGTCCAAAATTCCTGAAATTCACACACATTTTCAAAAACTTTATCACTCTCGTATTAACAAATAAGCAAACACAAATCAAAAACTCTAATTAATCCTAGCACCTAAAATTTAACACCTTCTTAAAACAGTAAGTTATACGAAATAAATAAATTCAAAAAATGAGTTACCGATTCGATCCTTCACTAAGCAGAGGTCACGGCACCAATGTTATATTTACTTCACGTGAGAGGATCGAATAAACACACAAAAAAAAAAAAAAAAAAAAAAAACTTATCTGTAGTGGACATCTTGAAGTGGAGGAGAGCTCATAATCTTAGCTCTATCCTTACGTCACTTGGCAAATCCGCAAGACAGAGACTCGAACGGCACGACAATAAATTACATCAGCTATACCGTCAAATCTTACGCCTGCTACTGTTTTCCATAGAAGAAAATTATTCCCACTGGAAGCAAGAGAACAGCTTACACCGCACGGCTGTCTGCCCAGACTCTAAGCTCCACCAAGGAAAACGTAGACAATTAAGCTAGGCATTTTAGAGAACGGCTAACTCAGGCTTTTCAGTTTGTCTAAGGTGACATAATTCCTTCTGTTTTCAAGTCGGAAGTTCAGAGGACATCGTCCTGACCTTTGGCCGACACAGATAGAGACCCAAAGTCTCTGTTCTCTCTAATTTTTTTAATAAAGTTAATCTCTGTTTTTAGTTCGCTCAACAGTTTTTTTTTCCCTTCGCATTTTTGAGAAAACCCGCGGCCGGGGAGCATAATTGCCGCTCCCCGCCGGAAGCACTGCTCGATGCCGCCGACTAAATCTTTTCCTTTCTCCGGTCAAGAGTAAGTGTGTCTCGCCTCTTAACCAAAACGCGGCCGGGGAGCATATTTGCCGCTCCCCGCCGGAAAACACCTCTCGGAGTCACTTACATTTTGTCCAGCAAGCCCAAAAATCAGCGAGTCAGTCCGAGAGTCAGCCCAAAAGTAAAGTGTGTCCAACTCAAATTTCCTTCTTCTCCTTCACCAAACGGGCTCCCACTATGGCTTCACTTATCGCCCCCTTAATTATGGCAAAATCTTCGTTTTCAACTCCAGAATGCGGAAAAAAGGGTGATCGCGCATGCGCGCCCTTCTTCACTTAGCCAACAACCGGACCCTCAATCGCCAAAAACCTGAATGACTTACATTGAAAGACAAGTAGCAACTTTTGACCTTTCCGTCACGTACTTTCCTCTCTTAAGGTCAACTAACAATGAAAATTCTTTCTCGAACATTCTAAAGCGCGCGAAATCATGACTTGGCGAAAATTGCCTCCCTTTCCCTGCTTCTTTCACAATGAATAAAAGTTTGTACAAGATTTGCAAATAAAAGAAAATAATAATATTCATTTATACTAAATAATATTTCCCGAAGCATCTATTTTCCCCAAAAATTAAAGCCTTAAATTAAATAATTCAGAATCTAAATAAAATTTAAATTTCCATAAATCATAAAATCATTCACATAGTTTTTACAACGCTATCAGATAATTTCTCTACATAACAAAATTTATAATTAAAGAACTCAACTGACACATGAGCATCTACAGTTCGAGATGAAGATAACTCTAGTAATTTCTCTTTCAACTCTACAAACCTCTTCAGAATCGAGCCGCCATCAAGTGTCAAGCTGCGGTAAGGATAAAGAAGTTTATAATTATTTATACATAAAAATATGTATTTTTATTTATGCTTCGAAGAAAAGTTTAATAAATAAGAGAAATAAACTAGGTTAACCTTATTTATGCTCAAGTTTTGCTTCGCTAGTGAAATTTTCTCTCCAACTTAGAAAATTTAATAATTTGTTTGTTTTTAGTTAAAATTAAAATAATGATTTAATTATTAATTAATGCTCCACCTACAAGATTTAAAAATTCAACTTAATTTTGGAATTGTAATATGTAATTGTTTTTTTTTAAATTATTCTGTTTTTTGCATAATTATTCGATTCTGTGAAACCTATATTCGAAGATTAACTAAAAAATTATCAATTAAGTTTTTAATTTGATAAATGACATATTTGAGTGCTTATTTACTAACAAATCAATAATGATTTTAAATAGATATATTTGAGACAAATATAATTCAATATATATTAGTTATATAATAAAATGAAAGAAGGGCAAACTACCAGTATTCAGCTATCATGTCTACTGCGGCCTCCACAGACCAAGTAAACTTTCTATTTGAGGCCGAATTGAAATCTTTACTTTCTTTCTCAAATCTCACCGCAAAATAATCAGAGACACCTCAGGAAACCTGTAAGTGAATCAATAGATATATTCTGAAAAGTAGCCTTCAATATTTTCAGGCAAATGTGTCATCCTTGGGAGGGGATTAAACTTCAGTTACAGAAATAGCTTTGAAATATGCAAGGACCTGATGAAATGAATTCTATTAACAAATGGAAATTACAAATTTTTTTTAAGAAAGCTCATTTTTTTAAAGTGTACATGGTAAAAATTAAATCAATAAATACTTGTTTGGCAGTCATTTCCTTAACTTTTTAATTTTTTTGGCAGTTTTGCTCATACTTTGTTTTAAAAGTTATGGTTATGAAAATGCTATCATTGTCATTATAATGTAATATGTTTACTAAAAAATGGAAACAGCGGCAGTTATATACTTAAATGATGAGTTAGAACATATTCATTGGGAAATAATATTATCTCTTCTGAAAAGCTTTAAAGACAATTTTTCTAACATTGCAACCCATTCGTAAAATAAAAGACTTTCCAGATGAATTTAATGTTTATTTTAAATATAACATGGTTTTAGATAGTTAATTATTACCCACATTTAGATTTTTGTTTTAGGACTCAATGTTTCTAAAATGATTCCATAGGTCCTTTGAGAAAGTTTAAGGAAACATTTCAGAAAAAATTTAATAAAAAAAGGAAAAACGTATGAAACCAATCACTAAAATTAGTATATATATATATATATATATATACATATATATGTGTGTGTGTGTGTGTGTGTGTGTGTGTGTGTAAGGGATATATATATGTTAATACATATATATATATGCATATATATATAACTACCATGTAAATATTGTACCAAAATTTTAAAACTACTCATTGGTATAAATATTTCTAGCGTATCAACAAATGGTACAATATACATGTATTTGATTCCAGTTAAAGATAGAACAGGTTTGTATGGGGATGAATTCACAATAAACCCGTATACCATTTAATTGATTTCTTTACCCTTCCTCAAGCAAAGGCAGAAATGCAGCTAATCAAAGGCAATGTTTAAATAATAAACGCTTTTTGAAACGGCTCAAATTAAATTGCAGAACAAACTGTATTATGAAAAGATATCAGGTATAATTAGCTTCAATTCTAATACGAACTCTAATCGATGACTATCAAATATTGGGAGTAATAAACAACGTCTCTCATTCTTCAGTAACAAGAACGAAATTTACGCTTATGGCTATCAGATATGGAATTTGTCACTTTCCATTCCTATATTGAAAAAGAAAGCATTTAATGACGCCAGATGTCACGCTTGAAAGGAATAGTGAGAGTTTTTAAAAGTTACTGATAAAAGAATTTCTTTAACGCATGTTTAAATCAGCTCGAGTAATCAGGTTTACAGAACTCATTACAATTTTTTTATTTAAAAACTTTGTACTGCCTTTTTATCATCCCAAAAGGCTATTATTAAACAGCAAATACAATACAAATATCCACATACCGCTGCTATAGGATGACCCACTCGAAAGGAAAAAATGCGATAAAAATTTTTGTAACAAAAGGGAAAAAAATCAAACTTTTACATGACATACTTTTATGTTTGAGAAATGAAAGTACACTACAATAGGTACTGGAAGTGACCTCCCTCCACCTGTATACATAGTTCAACACGACACTGCATGTTCCCGTATGTTGCTGCTAGAGTACTGGGCGTCACTGCTTGGATTTCACGGTGGATGTTCTGATATAACCCGTCTATGGTGCGTAGTTTGTGTTTGTACACATTAACTTTAAGGTGACCCTACAGAAAAAAGCCAAGGGGGTCGCGTGTGGTTACCTCTGGGGCCATAATCATTTGGAAATCTCTCTGGTAGGAAAAAATGATTTCATCGTCCCGCCATACTCGCTATAGATGTGAAGCATGTTGCATCTTGCTGACCAGCTAAGTCTCAGTTCCTCATCATACAAGTGGTTTACAAATTCCTAAATTCATGAAGTCAATACCTGATAAACTTCACTGGTTACGGTAGTATCTAAAAATGGTCCGATGATGTCCGACGATTCGCTGCGATAATGCTCAAAACACGTCCACTTTCTGTGAATGAAGGTGTTCTTCGACGACTGCATGCTGGTTTTCACTACTCCATAAACGCGTGTTTTGTGAGTTTACGTATCCTAACAACTGGAACCACATTTCAGAATTATACCACCTATACTGCAATATTCCTAGCCTTTCAGCGATTTATCGATGAAAGACTGAAATGCTGAATCGCTGAAAGGCCATTTATTTCAGCGATAAATCGCTGTATCAGTTTATGAACAAGTGTAAATTGTAAGGATACAGGCCTGCCTTTTTAGCAGCTCTGTGACATATGCTGCACGATAATCCAGATTCCTGCGATAATCGGATTTACACTGGTGTGCAAAAATTAAGGACGAAGTCGAAAAATAAGCATATCAGCTGAACGAAGAAGCAGAGCGGACAGAAAGACCAATCAGGAGATTAAGTAAGGTGATGTACGGTAGCACATGCGCAGATATGCAGGTAGACGTAATGGGGGAGTGTCTGAGTAGTATAAAGCATGTTGTCGGTGTAAGATCAGTATTTCTGGCAAAGAGATTGCATGCCGTATAGCAGTTAAAATCACACCGAGTTGCTGCCTCAGCGAGAAATGGCGAATAATCAATCTGTTAGACGACATCGGGATGCTTTTACCCGAGGTCGAATCATTGGGAAGTTGGAGGAAGGCCGCAGTGTGACAAGTTGGTGCTGCAGAGTTCGGAATTGCTCACAGCATCGTTTCACGACCTTGGAGACAATTTCAAACTACAGGAACAGCTATCCGGGGGATTAGTAGTAGTCGTCCACGAGGAACCACAGATGACCGGTATATTGCCTTACAGGCCAGAAGAAACAGGCGGCAGACAGCGGGAGAAATCGCTAGACACACGACACAGGCGACTGGACGACCGATATCGCGTTTTACCGTGGCCAGAAGACTGCACGGTGGTTGTCTGTTTGCACGACGCCCTGTACGGTGTGTACCTCTAACGCCTGCCCATCGGAGAAGGCGTTCTCTGTGGTGCCGGGAACACCGGAACTGGAGAGACAATGTTTGGGGACGAGTACTCTTTACAGATGAGAGCAGATTCAGTCTGAGTAGCGATTCTCATCGCATACTCATCTGGAGAGAGCGAGGAAGCCGCAATCATCCCTCGAACATCATTGAAAGGGACAGGTATGGAGGTGGCGGTGTTCTCGTTTGGGGAGGCATCATGCTTGGTAGTCGTACAGATCTTCACATCTTCGAAGCAGGTTCAGTCAACGGGACCCGTTATTGTAACGAGATTCTTCTTCCATATGTGCGTCTTTTTAGAGGCGCTATGGGTCCGCAGTTCCTTTTCATGGACGACAATGCACCATGTCATCGCACAGCAGCTGCCGAACAGCTCTTAGGGAGTGAGGATATTGAACGTATGGATTGGCCGGCACGATCTCCGGATCTCAATCCCATCGAGCATGTATGGGAGTTTCTAGGCAGACGCTTGGCAGCTCGTACCTTACCACCAGTAACGATTCCGGAGCTTCGATTGGCGCTGTAAGGCGAATGGGCAGCAATGCCTCAACAACTCATTGACACCCTCATTCTCAGCATGGGCAGACGCTGTGAAACCTGCCTAGCAGTCAGGGGAGATCATATCCCCTATTAAAGACCGGATGTTTCTTGCTGGACACCCATCACAGGGATGTTTCGGCCTTCAGTCGCATTGCGCTCCATGCTACTTTTTCAATACAGCTTCTTTTTATTCCTCTGATTTCTCTTTTAGTAAGTGTTGCTTACATTACTCATGTCCTTACGTATTTGGGATCTTACGGTATTAAATGTGTTGATTTGGAAAGCTTTTGTACAAAGTTATATTGAAGAAACCGTCTCGTCCTTAATTTTTGCACAATAGTGTAGATCAACTACACTTTCTTCAAATAACAAAGAGCGCCCCTCTCGATGTGCTGATCTAACAATGTTTTTTTTTTTTTTTTTTTTGTCTTCAGTTTCTTCATCAGGCCTTGAATATAGTGTTTAGATTGTTTATGTTGACCACCGGAACGACGTTCCAAAAACAGTCGCTGAGATGCCGTAAAGATCCATTTATCCAATACTCTTTCACAAGAAAACACGCGCTCTTCCACAAATATCGATACATCGTCAGAATTAAACATCACCGGAAGAAACAAGTAGCACGGAACATGGTAAGCCACGAACAGTAACGAACAATAAGCCATGAAACTTGAGACCAACACCCATTGGTGACCACACTAGTGGCACATTTCACAGATTTACAATCTTGCCACGTCGACGACTTACGTCAGATCATCCACCGTGAAATCCAGGTAGTGACGCCCAGTACTGTGGCAACAACATAC